TCCCTATTACCCTGGAGATGAAATATCAACTCCTCTGTCTTACATTTAAATAAAGGTCTTCACAGTGTGATCCCTTCCTGTCTTTCCTGTTTCCTTACATGTTGTTCCTTCATTTTCACATATGTGACTGTTCGTGACCCCATTTGGGGTTTTCTTGGCAGAGAGATTGGAGTGCTTTGCCATTTCCTTCTCCAGCTCATGTTACAGATGAATAGACTGAGGCAAACAGGGGTCAGTGACTTGCCCAGGATCACACAGCTAGTAAGTGTCTGAGGCCAGATTTCAACTCGGGTCTTCCTGCCTCCAGGCCTGGTGCTCTATCCACTGTGCCACCTAATTGCCCTTATATATTCTGCTTACACATTCCTTATGCTTTGCTGCCCTTCACATATTTTGCATACCATCCATGCTGGCCTACCTGTTTTTCTTGACACATGACATTCCATCTCCTGTGCTCCACTCTGCACTGGCTGTGCCCAGTGCCTGCGGTGCTATCTAAATGACAGCCTCTTAAAATCTGTGATTTTCTTCAGGACTCAACTTCCACATCCCCAGAAACTAGCACCTTCCCTTCTTTTCCAAACTATCTTGTATTCATTCGTTATGTAGTCTGTGGAAAGGCAGCGTGGTAGAGTAGGCGGAGATTTGGCCTCTGAGTCACAAAAGCCTAGACTCAACTCACCCTTGTGACATAAGATCTCAGTTTGATCCTTCGTCTGACATCTATTATTGTGACCCTGGGGAAGTTACTTAACCTCTCAGTGCTTATAACTTGCAGAGAAGCTGCCAATCTACATGAGTAGAAGGACTCTATCCTTCAATCTGCCGTCAAAGTGATTTTGCTAAGGCGCTGGTCTGACCGTGTCACTTCTGGATTCAGTAAGCTCCCTTGAGTGGGTCCCTCTTACTTCCAGGATCCAATATGAAATCCTCTATTTGTCCCCCACCTCCCTTTCTGGTCTTCTGATGCCTCTCTGTGGGCTAGATTGTTGACATGACTTGAATGTAAGTGAGGCCCTTGAGGGCAGGAGCTGTTTGCTGTTTATATCCCCAAGACTTAGCACAGTGCCTGGCACGTGGAAAACAGTAAATTCTTGTTGACTATTTGATTGATTGAATGATCAGGCATAAAGAGGAGTCATTAATGAGATGATGTCACCCTGCCAGAAAGTCTTAGAGGTCTCTTCCAACCGAGAAGCTTTTGAACCATCAATCTAAGGTTGATTTGGACTTTAATTTTGCTTTGAAAATGTTACTTCTCTTAATGAATTATGGCCGTGTGGTGTAGTGGAAAGAATAGTAGAGGCTAGGAATAATGATACTTGAGCTACATAATTATGAGGAAAGCTTTTTATGAGCTATAAATCCCAGTATTAATGTGGTGTTATTCATATACTTTGACAGATCTGTGGTTGCATCAATATGTGTGCCCCTGTGAGTGGTGTGGATTGTAAGCCATCCGTATCTACTCTTTATCTGCAACTTTTGTCCATCGCTTCCCATAACACTTCTTATGCTCCAACATTCATTGCATCTTCCTCTCTATCTCTTCACGTTTCCTGGATACCAATGGGGCGTCCATTAGCCCTTGCATTTTATATATGACTAGCTGGCCTCCTTTTGACCAATCTTGTGTTGCTACAATGCCATCCTGTACCCTACTTCAGTCACAGAATCCTCTCCCAGAAGTATTGCTGCTGACTCCCCTCATCCACCATGGGGCTCTTCGTCACCTTTTGGGTGAACCAGAGCTTTATTTGGAGAAGGCTGTATTGTATGACTCATACCTATACAACAGTACATGTATTGCTAATAAAAATATGGGCCTCTCTTGCAGGAGGAAGCTTGGGCTTATTAAAATCCTTCCATAGATTCCGAAATGCAATTTAGCCTGCCTTTCTCCCCTGCTCAGTTCTGGACTCAGTTCATTGTCTATGCTCAGTGTCCATCCAAGATTTATGTACTCTTGGACTATCTATGTAGATCGTCCATCTTGTATGTCATTATGTGAACAATACACATTCTGTAGCCCCATAGGCTTCCTACAGAAGAAGAATTTTCTTTTTCTTTTCTTTCTTAAAAACAGAAGTACAGAGTGTAGTTTGCCTACCAGATGGATGGTTAATAATGTTTTTCTCCAGCAGGATGTTATGCTAGAGTTTTAGACAGCAACTAGCAGTTTTAGTAAAATTTTAAAGTAATTTTTGAGAAAAAAGTAAAATGCCCGTTTTATTATATTTTTCAATGCTTAACCTAGCATTGGAAATTGTGCAGACTGCAGTAATGCTAGACAAAACTATAATACAGTTCTGAGGCCACTCACTCTAAATGTACTTCCCACTGGTTCCTATAAAGCAGCGAGTCTTACTGAAGTCACACTGCCCCCAGGGATTTCATTCATTATTGTTGTCATAGCTTGTCCTTGGATTATATTGTTTCACCCCGGTGACAATTGAAGTGTTTGGTAGATCAGCATGATAACACATTGAATATTAAAGATTTTATTTTGAAAGAGAAAGCCACTGTGTTTAAAGTGCACCCAGAAAAGCTAATTGTGAATATGAAATTAAGGTGGCCAATTGAACTAGTACAACTTTGCCATAGGTGACATTTTCTATCTGCCATTAAGACTTAACTTTTCTTTTTATTTTTCTGGTCTTGGGGGAAGATTTTAAATTTTGCAAGTGAATCAGAACTTTAAGAAACTGAGGGGAAGCTGTTAAAAAGAAAGTCCTAAGTACAGGCTGGATTTATTAATTGAGATAAGCCTTTTTTCTTTAGTCATCCAAACAGGAGGGATTGGATTTCTTTCAGAGAGAGAGCCCACCTCTCTTATATGATTTCTGTAAGCCTATTTATGACCTGCGCTCATTTTTTCTGAATTGGGTAAATCTGTATATGAACATCAGTGGACAAGCCTTTCATTTCTGGGTTATCGAATAAAATGTCCAACTGGCAGAACCCAGCAGAATGAGAAAACTTGATGCCATATTTCTGTATCTTCGCTAAGTAAATTCCTGATTTCGTTTGCAGCTTAGTTTTGTATGAATGTGATGTCAAAGAAAACACCAGATATTTAGACCAAAGACAGCTCGTGTGCGTGTGTATGTGTGTTTGACATTAGAAGCTTTTTACAATTCCACGTGTGATAACCTTGTGGCAATTTTTTGGGTAATTATTATATTAGAGATAAGTGGGGGAGTAAAGTGTTCCTTATACTTTGGATTCTGTAGCAGGGCACACATGTAAATCAGCACTGCAGATGTTTTGCCTGGAGACCTAAGAGGTTTGGGGAGACATCTTAGCTCTCTTCAAGTATTTGAAAGGCTCTCGTAACGGTCGTCCTGCTTGGCCACGGAGGCAAGAACGAAGCGCAGGCAGTAGAACTTGCAGAGAAGCAAATTGGGCTTTCATAGAAGGAAAAACTTTTTCCAACATTCCTTTTTTTCACTTCTCACTTGTTTTCTTTCTCTCCCACCTTCCGCCTTCCCGCTGGCAGGAAAAAAAAGAAAGAAAAACAACAAGCTCTTGTAACAAATAAGTATAGTCAAGCAAAACAAATTCTTGCATGAACTATGTCCAAAACTGTGTCTCCCTCTGTAGCCTCCGGAGAGGCTGGGACACTGCCATTCCCTTCATCCCTGGGCCTCTGGATGCACAGCTGCCCATCTCCTTCATCAGGCTTCTCAAGTTCTTCACAGTCTTGCACTTTGCAGTGTTATTGCTGTTGTTTAAATGGGTCTCCTGGTTCTGCTCGCTTCACTCTGCGTTATTTCATACAGGTTTTCCTAGTTTCCCCTGAAACTGTCCATTTCATTGTTTCTTACAGCCCAGTGTAATCTGTTACATTGATATACTGCACTTTATTAGCCTTCCCACAGTAGGGGGGCAGCCCAGGAGTTGCCAGTTCTTTGCCACTACAAAAAGAGTGTCTCTCTCTCTCTGTGTCTGTCTGACTCTCTCTTTCTCTGTCTCTCTCCCTCTCCATTTCCCTCTCCCCTCTCTCTGTCTCTCTGTGTCTCTCTCTCTGTCTCTCTCTCTCTCTCTCTCTCTCACACACACACACACACACACACACACACAGATTACATATGTGTCTCTTTCTTTTTTCTGTTTTCTTTGGGGAATAAGCTTTATAGGGGTATCTCAGAGTCAAAGGGTATTTATACAGAGTTTGGGAGCATAGCTAAATTGCTTAAGGAAAATAAAAACAAAAATCTCTGAAAGGTAAAAGCTGTCTAAACCATTGTGGAAATGAGCTACTTACCCCTCAATAGAGTGACTACCCTATCCCTTGAAGTACTCAGGTGGAAACTGGGGGATCCTTTGTAGGCAGAGAGGGCATTCTTGCTTTTATTTTCATTTACCTATGATATTTACATTAATAATAGTCAAGGATCAGCATAGCTTTAGCACAGAATCTTGCAGTTTGGGTGGAACACTAGGACCATTTTAAAATAAGAGGCAGTAGGGGCAGCTAGATGGTGCAGTGGATAAAGCTCCGGCCTTGGAGTCAGGGAGACCTGAGTTCAAATCTGGCCTCAGCCACTTGACACCTACTAGCTGTGTGACCCTGGGCAAGTCACTTAACCCCAAATGCATCACCAAAAACAAAAACAAAAAAGAATAAAATAAGAGGAAGTTAAAGAATTGGGCTTGAAATAATATATATGTGTGTATGTGTATATGTATATATATATATATGTATATATGTATATATGTATGTATATGTATGTATGTATGCACATATGTGTGTATATATAATATATGAAGATGTTCTGAAGAATATACAAAGATGGCTAATTTTGATGTACATTGTTTGTCTTTCTCTTTTAGAAGCTGTGTTTATTTTAATTATGTGATAGTCCTTATTAGGAAACTATTCTGTGCAACTTCATTTTAAATGAATGAACTAAAATGATGGGTGAAGCAAATTAAGAGATAACTGCAGACTTTGAGTTGATATTATTCAAATGACTTTGCTTCCCATTTTTCTCCAGATCAGAGATACTAAATCATCAGACCAAAAGACCACGTTGTTACATTTTCTTGCTGAAATTTGTGAGGAAAAATACCGGGACATTCTTAAATTCCCAGATGAATTGGAGCATGTTGAAAGTGCAAGCAAGGGTAAGCAATGTGACTGTTGTGAGCTGGTGAGTTTCCCTTTAAATTGTCCCATTATGAAGCCAGGGAACAGGGTTTATTCACATGGTGGTTTACATTCATAAAAAAGGCAAGGAAATGTTGTTTTTCCCTTTTAAGTATCATGTAGCAGTATATCATGTTCCATTGGCATGCATCTATTTTTAGATGTTTTATCATAGAAAATGATGTCAAGTTCCCTTTAATTCTTTTACTGCTTTTCCATAGATTTCACATCTTTAGTCAAATTATGAAAATTGAAGTACTTTATTTGTATTAGTTTAAGAATAATCATATCATCAATGTATATATTAGAAGTCTCATTCTGGGGAATGGTAATAACATTTTCAGTGTGTTTATGTGATTCAGCTATGAGCATTGAATTTTTCTCCAGTTATTTAGGTCTTCTTTTATTACTGTGGTATTTGTTTTATATTTGTGTTTATAGAAGTTTTGTGTGTGTGAGTAAGTTGGCCCCTTAATATTTTATGCATTTTATTTTTTTTTTTATTTGGGAGGGTAATGTAAACAGTTTAACTTTATGGAGTCCCCTATGGTTACCCTTTCATGTTTACTTTTTCATGCTTCTCTTAAGTCTTGTGTTTGAATTTCAGATTTTCCATTCACTCTGATCTTTTGTTCAGGAGTCCTTGAAAGTCCTATGTTTCATTAAATGTCCATTTTTACCCCTGAAAGATTATACACACTTTTACCAGGAAGGTTTGATTGTAATACTATCTCCTTTGCCTTCCAGAATATCATATTCAAGCCCTCCTCACCATTAATGTAGAAGCTACTATATCTTATGTGATGCTGATTATAACTCCATAACACTTGAATTGTTGTTTTTTTTTTTCCTGGTTGCTTCCACTATTTTCTCCCTGAGCCAGGAGGTCTAGAATTTGCCTATAATATTCCTGGGAGTTTTCATTTTGGGATTTCTTTCAAGAAGTGATTGGTAGATTCTTTCAACTTCTATTTTATTCTCTAGATCAGGCCTGCACAACTTGCAGCTGTTAATTCCCCCCTCCCCCCCCCACCCCAGGCTGCCGCATGCCAAAGGATTTCCTCTATATACGAAGGATATTTTCCTCTACATTTTTCACAGGCCTCCCCAAATCCTTTGGCATACTGCAAGCAGCCCTAGGGCCGTAAGTGACCCACAGGCCGCAAGTGGTGCAGGCTTGCTTTAGATCTAAGATATCAGGACAGTTTTCCTTGATAATTTCTTGAAATATGATGTCTGGGCTCTTTTTTTTTTTTTTTTTTGGTCTTGGCTTCAGGTCATCCAACAATTCTTAAATTACCTCTCCTTGATATATTTTCCATATCATTTTTTTCCAAAGGCATATTTCACATTTTCTTCTATTTTTCATTCTTTTGTTTCTTCAATTCTCCTAGAGTTACTTCTACTTGTCCAATTCTCATTTTTAAGGAATTATTTTCTTCGGTGAGAATTTGTACCTCCTTTTCCATTTGGCCTATTCTGCTTTTTAAGGAGTTCTTTTGTTCAATGAATTTTTGTGCCTCTTTTACCATTAAGCCAATTCTCTTTTTTTGTGTGTATTTTCTTCAGTATTTTTTGTACCTCTTTTACCAAGCTGCTAATTCTCTTTTCATAATTTTCTTACATCACTCTCATTTCCCCACCCCCCCCAATTTCTTCTCTCCTACTCTTATCTCTTTCTTGTACCTTTTCAGGAATTCTTGTTGGGCTTGGATCCAATGAGCATTTTTCTTTGAGGATTTTTGTAGCTGTTTTCACATTGTTGTCTTCTACTGAGTTTATGTCTTGATCTTCCTTGCCACTATAGTAGCTTTTTATGGGCAAATTCTTTTTTGTTTTTGTTTGCTCATTTTTCCAGCCTATTTCTTTACTTTAAACTTTATATTAGAGTTGGGCTCTGCTCATTGTGAAGTAAAGAGGCATTGTCCCAGCTTCAGGCATTTTGGGGGGCTGCTATTTTCAGAGGTAGTTCTGGGTGTCTGCAAGTTTTTGGTGCTTCTGAAGTGGTGTGATCTGGGGGAGAGATGTGGTCACTGCTTTTCTGGTCATATGTTTTACTGCTCCTCTCTGTCCTTGGTCCCATGTTCCCAGAAGTACTTTTTTCTGCCCTGGAACTGCAACCCAGAACTCCGTATGTGCAGCAGAGTTGCCAAATAGCTCCAGATGTCCCCATTGCTAGTAATGGGTCTCCTGTAATCTCTTTTTGGCCAGTTTTTTGGCTCCCTTACTGTCTCTGGGTTAAGAGCTTCAGAAGCTGCTGCTGCTGTTGTAGCTGCTTCCAATAGAGTTTGCTGCACTGTGGACCATACCCCCACCCATTTTATTATTTTAAATGACATTTCTCTTTATCCTTCTTCCTTTTCTTTTTTGTTATTTATATAAAGACATGCTAGTGGATTTTGTGGCTTGAGGACTGAAAAAAAAGGTCAATAGATATGGCAGTTAGAGATTGTTGTTAACTTTGGAGAGAGCAGTTTCAGTTGAGTTAATAATAGCACATGCCTTACAGGGCTATTGTGAAGATCAGATGAGATAACATACCTTCAGTGCTTAGCAAACTTTAAAGTGCTATGTAAATTTATCATTGTTATGACAACGATGATGATGATTGAAGTTCCCTGTGCCTCAGTTTCTTCATATGGAAAATTAGAACTGAAGACCTCTGAGTTTAGAAGCCTGATTTCAGAGAGTTAAGAAAAGATAGAGTTATTGATGATATCTAATAGCAATGGTGGGATCTAGTGAATGTTTTGTTGCTTTTTTTTTTCTTTAAGAAAGGGACAGGCTGGCTTCTGTTTGTAGGCAGCAGAGAAAGAATAAGTAGGTATGGTGAGATTGAGTGTTATAGAGAGAGTTGGATGCTAATGGGAACAGTCTGTGGAGAAGATTAGAAAGGATTTTTGATGGCCTAGACCATGAAGCTAAGTGACATTGCCTTAGCCCCTGTACATAATTCTTACTGTAAAGAAGTTCTCAAGGTCATGAGGATCAGAGAAAATTTCCCATTCTTCATCCTGTTGATTATCTGATCCAGAAGTCCTATGTATTCTTTTGCTTTACATTGTATCTTATTCCAGCATTTTCTTTCATTTCTTGTCATTGATGAGTAGCTTTGGTTTTGTTTCCTCCTGACTGCTGAAAGTGAAATTTGTAATTTTTTTACTCCTTTTCTGGGTGAGTTAAGTTGGTTTTTCTCACATGATGTCCAGTCAGTTCTCGTGATTTTTCACTTATTTTTCTGATACTCTTGAGCAGTTTTCTTGCATAATTTTGTGAAATATGGTATTCTGAGAAACCAGGATAACCACAATTGTCTCCTTGAGCTCTGTCTTCTAGACTTATTGCTTAGGTTTGTAGAGACTGCACATGTTCTTTTAGTTTTGTCTATTTAGAAAAAAATTTACCCTGTTGTTGCATATTGAATTTTTTTGTTTCCTTTTCCTGTTATTCTGCTTTTTCAGAGTGCTTTGCTGTATGGATATTTTCTATCTAATATTCCAAACTATGGCTTTGCTCTAAGGTTTTATTTGTGAACGCATTTCTTTTTCCCTCATTTAAAAAATAATAACTTTATTTAGCATATTTCTTACTGCTTTGTAATAATGAAAATCAGCTGGTATTAGATATGAACATTTACTTAGCCATCTTCCCAAGTAAAATCTTTTGGAAAAAATTTAAAAAAAACTTTGAGGGATGTCAGCAAGCCCTCTAGAGCATACAAGCCATCTCATTTCTGAAATATAACAATTCAGATGGGCCAGTAAATATCACCTTTTTCATTGGAAATTTAAATTACTGAATCTAACATTTATTTTCAACTGGTTTTCAGAGGCATCATTGTGTATAAATATACATATACCCATACATCTACATATATGTATACATATGCATCTTATTTTTCCATTTGAATAATTTTCTAAGGCCATTAGCTTCACTAAACATTTATACTGTCTAGTTCACCACCTAATAATCTATTCTGTAACTCTGTTAGCAACTAGCAGATGTTTTGGATTTTTGTTTAAGGCAAATGCTATTTCCCATTCTTGTTGAAAGTTAAATTAACAAATGAATATTATCTCAGGAATGCCCAGCTACGTGTTATTTTTGCTGAACCAAGTTGTTAATGCTAAATATCTATTGATTTTTTTTTTAAGAAGGTTAAAATGCCAAGTATTTGGAAGGGAACAGCTCAGATACAGAATGTATGTGTTATACAAGGCCCCTCAGAGGGCAGCATGGTTGCAGTGGAAAAAGTGTAGGGCTTGAGAGTGAGGAGAATTGAAATCTAGTCCTTACTTTGCCTCTAACTGGTTAATAAATTAGTAAGTTTCTACTTAGGAAGCTTGTTGGTACAGTGGAAAGAGCACTGGTATTAGAGTCAGGAAGACCTGAGTTTGAATCCTGTCTCAAACACTTCACTAGCTGTGTGACCCTGGGCAAGTCACTCAACCGCTATCTGCCTCAGTTTCCTCATATATAAAATGAGGATAATGATAGCACCTGCTTTAAAGGGTTATTGTGAGGATCAGATGAGCTGGTATATCTAGAGTACTTAGCAAACTTTAAAGTGTTATGTAAATGTGTTGTTATTATTATTATCAAAGTTGTACTTCAGTTTCTTCATATGGAAAATTAGAACTGAAGAACTCTAATGATACATTGAACTCTGTTCAGTTGTTTCGGTCGTGTCTGACTCTGTGACCCCATCTGGGGTTTTCTTGGCAGAGACACTAGAGTGGTTTGCCATTTCCTGCTCCAGATCATTTCACAGATGACGAAACTGAGGCAGAGAGGGTCAAGTGACTTGCCCAAGGTCATACAGCTAGACAGTGTCTGAGGCCAGATTTGCACTCATGAAGATGAGTCTCCCTGACTTCAGGCCAAGTGCTCTGTGAACTGTGGCGCTACCTAACTATCCTCAAGTATGTCTAGTTCCCTAAGTGTGAAAGATTTTTTGTATTTATCACATGAGATCATA